CTACAAGTTCTTCAAATACCTATAGAATGATAGGTTTCTTTTTTGTGAATGTAAAACTCTTAAATACATCAGCTCGATTGATATTCGTAATTACCTTGGTTAAGATCGATAATTTGAACTTAGCAACATTAATATTGTTGTTTACCTTGGTTAAGATCGATAATTTGAACTTGCCAACATTAATATTGTTGTTTACCTTGGTTAAGATCGATAATTTGAACTTGCCAACATTAATATTGTTGGCTTACCTTGGTTAAGATCGATAATTTGAACTTCATAGCATTGGTATTGTTGTTTACCTTTCTTAAGATAGATAAGTTGAACATAACAACATTAGTATTGTTGTTTGCCTTGGTTGAGATCGATAATTTGAACTTGGCAACATTAATATTGTTGCTTACCTTGGTTAAGATCGATAATTTGAACTTGACAACATTGGTATTGTTGTTTGCCTTTCTTAAGATAGATAATTTGAACTTGGCAACATTAATATTGTTGTTTATCTTGGTTAATATCGATAATTTGAACTTGACAATATTAATAGTTTTGTTTATTTTGGTTAAGATCATCAATTTGAACTTGACAACATTAATATTGTTGTTTACCTTTTTTAAGATAGAGAACTTTAACTTGACAACATTAATATTGTTGTTTACCTTTTTTAAGATAGAGAACTTTAACTTGATAACATTAATATTATTGTTTGCCTTTTTTAAAGAGTTACATTTTGATTGGCAGCCATTATTATATTAAGCTGTTAGAAACATATGTTCCTTCAGTAGGTCTACTATACTGGAATGTTGGTTGACGCAAGAAAGCTGGATATTATTTTCGGGTTACTTTCTAAGTTTAGATCACGCCGCACTTGGCTGGCGATGTCGAGCTACGAGCAGTGTTACTTTGAAGTACATAATATATTATTGGTGACGTCATTTAATTCCTATATAGATAATACTCATTTACTAATGAAATATGTAATTTCATACAACTTTCCCAGTACGTATTGCTCAGATAACAAGCAGAAGGTAGTATTTATTATTGCCTACATTATATACAACCGATTTGTTCCTCATATACTTACTAAAGTACGAAGTTGATCAGTCATGGTGAGTAATTATCACGTCATGAAATATACAATAAGAGATAGAGGTAACTTTTAACATACATAACTAAAAATTTATCCCGTCTCTATGACACGAATCCTATATTTTAATGTCTTTTAGAGGAGACTCGAATCCAACTGTTAACTCTACTCACCAAAAGTCATTCTACATAGTATGAGAGTAAAGTAATTCTAGGATGA